ATTGCCTCCCTTTCCTTTGCTGATCTTGTTAATTTGTTCGGTGGTGTTGCCCATCTGGTAGCCTTTTTCACCCCTTTTCACCCTTTCACCATGAGGATCTTTTACGGTGATCCTCTTTTTTGTTGACTCAGTACTGCTCTATTTGGTTAGCGTTAACAATCTAGCTTTTGATATTCCCACTCTTATCCTAGTCTTATCTCGTTTTAGCTGGTTTTAGTTGAAACTTGGCCACCTGCAGGTCCCTTTTGGTAGGTAACGCCTCTGCGATTAATAGCCCCTCTGTGCAGGATCTATTGTTGTTGGGAATGAATTCTTCATTTTCTGACCATCCAAAAACGGATGGCGATGTGACTTCTTTTTAGTAGACAATGACTTAACGGTTGGATACACCAATGGGCACAAAGGGTAACATACCACGTACTGAAGTTGTTTCCCCTGCCAGTAGTAATTGTAAAGTACGTCACTTCCAACCTGGAGCACCGGTTGCCTAATTGGAACCTTGGACTTGGTTCGGAAGGAGAGGTTGGGATGTGCTTCCCAAACGAGACCTGAGGTCTCGTTTTCAGAATTACCTACAATTGCGCTTCTTAGATGAAGCACCATGGATTCCTCTGTTGTCATGCATGCCAAACCACAGGCCATGGAATGCATTTTTTGCGCAAATCTGTGAGAGCTCCCGCAACTCCGCATGATCATTGGCCTCATACATCTTCTTCAGCATTGGTTCCGTCTTATGTGGGAACTTTGCCTTTGGATCATCGGTTCGGTCATTTGGACATTTACAGTACCGGCACAACTGTTTGATGTTTTTGCCTCTGGACCGAAAGGAAAGGCACAACTTGTCACCCTCATCCCCATCACATTTGACGAAGGGGATAAAGAAGACGAGCTCACAGTCCTTGTAAAGTTTGCCCTTGTACCGAATATCCATGACCATCCCCTCTTTGATAAGCTCATCTACACTCTTCAGGAGCTCCTCCAGGATGAAATGATAGTCGGCCGCCTTGTCTGGATCCCCTTCCTTTCCGGTGTACTGGCCTGCTGCCTGATCATTTGCATTTGCTTCCCTTGCCGCATCCTCGGCCGCAACATGGCCCGACTCGGTGAAAATCTTTTGTCCTCTTGAATCTTCTTTTGTGTAATTGCTCACCAATCCGAGGGCCCTCCATGAATGTTCTTTGTCCCTGGCCCTACGGTTCAGGATGCCCAGGGATATTTTCAATGCGGTAACTTGGAGCTTGTCAAACTGCCCTGTTACAGCCCCATCAATGTAAAGAGGTAAGGGCACCAAAATTTGCTTGTCAGGTTTGGTGATCAGCTTCTTGTACGTCTCACGATATGCTAATCCTGTATTGAGATCCCCAATTTGCTTCAAATCGTTGGGGGGTGGTGCAAAAGGATCTGGTTCACCGTTCTCGTTATCGAAGAACAGCCAATCCTCATCCTTCCATCGTGGATCAGTCAGAAGGCTTTCGACAAGATCTCGTGCATGTCGGCGATATATTTTGACCTTCGACTTGGTATGGGGCAAGACTTTCTCTATCGGTTGGGCATACTTTTTGCCCATGTTGTACCGCGTTTTGAGCTTCTTCATCAATTTTTTGTGCGAAATGAACTCTTTGCACTCACCAAGTGATTGGTGTTCTACCAGCTTTCCACATTCCTTGAAGTGCCATTCCATCACAGCATCGTACGTATCCAAAGTGGCCTTCTTTTTGAACAATGTGTGCATGATCTTGATTGCTGCTTTCTCGTTTTTCTTGAGGGGTATAAAGTTTTGACATGCATCTCTCACATAATCTTTGAACTCTTTCATTGTTTGCCTACTTGGCTGATCGCATTTGCCCTCTTCCCCATTATCTGCATTGGTTTGAGCTTCCTCATCAGACGGATCAGCAAATGGATCAAAGAAATCTGCAACATCACTGGAGTCGGCTTCACTTGCCTCATCCACCATATCCACTTGCACATTGGGAAGGGGAGCATCGTGTGATGCGTTTGCACTTGCCTCAACGTCTTCCTCATATGTGCTCCTTGTGTCAACAGCTCTCCGTCCCAATAAGCTGCAATACTATCTGTGGTGGCATCCACTGGTAAGTCACCTCTTGTCTGGAGTGCTTCTTTTTCTCTGTCAGCGATTGATTCTATGGCCTCTGATTCTGGCTCCAAGTGCATCTTCTTCCTGGGTCTTTCCTCATCACTATTTTCCTCTGCAGTGCTTGTCTCCTCATCTCTCGCTCTCCTTTTGCCACCACCGCCATTGTCATCCTCCCCACGGTCGTTGTCATGGGAGTCAGGGTCAGTCCGTGTCTGAATTGAATGCGGGATTCGGCAAACTGTATCCAGATGCCGCTTCAAACCCCAGTCGGTCTTGCACATTTTTAAGCAGTACGGGCACTTGAATTTGACCATCGTGCGTGTTTATTTTGTGCAACTGGAAAAGATTTGAGGGGTGGCCAAAGTTTTTGTCTTGGATAAAGCGCAGAATGCTGTCAGGTCCAAGGGGCATAAGGAAAATGAATGCCGTTTGCGAAAACTGTTTATAGCTTGGTGCACAAAGAATGTGCCCATTTGCATGTTGAAGCAGGCGCACCCACAAGAATCTTGTTCAATAGTAAAGAATGTTCTGTTCTCCATGCACTTTCGTTAAGCATATGCGTAAACACTTGTTGTAGCCTTGCTTATTATGACGCAATGTACCGTACGAATCTATAGGCAACATCAAGATCATTTGACGCAAAGCTGAGTTAATAGTAGGCACCTGCATCGCACTGTAGAGGCTCTTGCACAAGACCATCACGCACAAGCACGTCACACTGGTAAATTGGGTGGCTAAAATGCGCTTCTTAGATGCTGTGTTTGAGCTGTATGCCGAATTCGGGACTAGGGGGGGAGTGGATGTTCAACCGCATACATAAAAAGATTGGATGTTCAACCGCATACAAAAATGGATGTTTGGCTGTTGTATTCACTACTAGTATTACTGGTTGGATGTTGACCTGTTTGGCTCCCTGGCTGAGTGGCTGCTTGGCTGTTTGGCTGTTTGGCTGTTTGGCTCCTCGTTCCCTTGGTTGCACAGCTCCTTGGTTCCTTGGTCCCTGTTGTGGATGGACCTGTTCCTGAGCTGATTGGCCCCTGAGCCGAGGCTGATTTTCAGGTGTTGAACCTCAGGGAAACTTGGATGTTCAGCTGAAGTTTTTGGGCCGGTTCCGGAGCTGATTGGCTGTTCAGCCAAGGCGGATCTTGAGGCGTTGTACCTCAGGATTTTGAGCTGTTTGCCATATCTGGCGATAAAATGTGGGTTGGATCCATGGGATCAACGTGGTGAGTGTGAGAACAAACTGTCTGTCTTATGTTACTGGTACCCACATGGTATGTGGAACAAGCAAAGATATAGAGAATCTTGGTTGGTACTGGTGAGACACAGGCCATACATATGGAACCAGGGAAGCCCCATATGGTCCCATATGAAGGTTTTGACCACTGTATCACCCCAGATGGCCATGAGGCGAGCATCTACTCAATCAGGTGACCTCAGCACCAAGATGCCTATTTGCATAGGGTCGGCTCCAAGGAGACCACCAAAACCGGGCAGCTCTGGGTCACCAATCTGGCTTCTGTTCTGATCCAGCAGTGGTGGAATCTCTGGGAAGACCGCAATGCCGCCAGGCACGGCCGGGATCAGGAACAGAAATGGCGCAAGAAACACGAACAGCTCCAACGAGAGGTTGAGCTCCTGTATGAAAAAGCGGACCTGCTCCCAGAGCATCTCCTTGATACCATCTTCAAACGACCCCTGGAGGAACAGATGGCCAAAGGGCCGGGGGATATCAAAGCATGGCTGGCAAATTGGCTTCCAGTTGTGGACAAAGCAATGAGGGATGAGCATGCACGCGAGCAGCCTTCCCAATTAGGGTAACTATGCGCCGATGTGGGATTCCCATAGCAATAGCGGGCGATTTAGCCTAGAGTAGATAGTTAGTCGTACAGTGCCCTCCGGAGTTTTGTTCAATTTCTCCGGTGGGGGGCTTACACTAGGCCCATCCTAAGTGGGCGCCCTCGTGCGCCTGAGGTATATGGGTTCGTCACGGCACTGTTCAGCGGATCGTCTGACGAGGTGTAGCCTTTAAAATAAAATTTCGTTATTTTTTTTAAGTGCCTATCTCCAGTCAACTGGAATTGCTTTATCCGTTTCATTATTGGCTACCTCTAGCAGTCAGAACTGTATGGACAGGGTGTTCACTGGACAAAATTGGGATGGTGTTACTCCCACAGTTTATGCTGCAGAGGTTGGACTTCGAGAGGGACCAGATGGGCAGTATGGTGATGACAGCGAGGTGGTTCAGGCAGTGTCCTTTCTATATCGTACCTGTATAGCAAGCATTGAGGGCTGGCTCCTGAAGCGGCCACTACTAGAGTCAATGTTAACTATGGACATGCTTGGTAAGAAGGGGCCTTATGTTATGGCCCTCTCCTTCTTCCAAATGGAGGATGCGATGAATATGGTCCGACAGATCAACTATAATCTCAATGTTGTGAAGCAATACAGGAGTGGTAAAAGGGAAAGGGAGATCTACGGACGGGCCCCGAGGAATTACTCCTGGAGAGAGGATGACTGGGTCAGAAATTCTGCCCGCTTTGACAAACACTTGTCCACTTTGATGATGTGGTACCGCAATGAAAATATTGTAATGTCTGCTCGACGTTGGGAGGTCAAGCTTGGTATTATCAAAATGCCAACCCTAGAGATGTATGTTGTGAGGGATCCGGCAACTGGACCAGTTTGGATTCAGTCCGGTGGTTTGCATGATGCTAATAAATTGGAAGATGACGATGATGAGACTACTTGCTCTTTGTCAACCATTTGTGTACTTTGAAGCTTGTTTGTTGTTGGTTTATTGGTAGTGATAATCTTCTATCTGTTAGCTTGCTTCTTCTTTAATTGACAAATCTGTAACGTTACACTTTAGTATACTTTGTTTCCAGTTGACCTACTCTATTTATTTGTACACGTTACATTGCATGGTTGATGTTTTACTTGTGCTATTGATTTTCTTTCTGTTGTTGATACGGTATCTCTTCATGAACAGTATGCAATGCTCCCTCTGAACATCTTCGTAACCACTTTCACTGCAAAGGCATCGGTCTTCCCATTCTGCGTGCGCAATATGCTGGTGACAGAGGTCCCAAATCTTGCTGTCTAGTGCTGTTGCTATACATGGCTTCAGGTGGCACATGGTGCAGTGGAGAACTGAAAGACCCTCCATGTTTTTGGTCTCGGCCGGGTAACCCGGTGGCCTATACACGTATTTGCCTTCCATGGGTTCATACTCGGACTCATTCCGGGGGAAGCCATCACTAGTATAGGTTACCTCCTTCTTCTTCGTGCCACCTTCTCTTGTGGTTGTGGCCGCCTTCTTGCCTCCTCCTCCTATGCATGCAAACTTCTTGTTACTAACCACCTTTCCCGCTCCGCCTCCAGTTTTTCTCACACCATGCTTGACATCCCGCTCCGGTCCCTTCTTGGCCGTGGCGCCAGCTTTCTTCATAGAGTTCTTACTGGGCTTCCTTTGGGTCTTCCCCTTTGGACTTTCAAAGACATGATCCGTCTTGTCCATGAAGCGGATTCGACTACCGGACAATGTCTCTAGGGGGGATATGGAGCCATGGTCTTTGAGGCTTCTAGTGGCCCACCTATCTCCCGGGGCTCTCGATTGGTTAAGCTTTTCCTCAAAGCAAACCCTACAGGTGTCGCCTCAAGGCACAAGGAGCACCCAGCATACATCATCCTAGCAGCATTCGCCAATGCTTCTGCGTTAACACACCCATCATCCAACCAAGAACCGGGCATTGTTGCTTCTTGCTAACAGCTTGCTTCCTTACAGATAGGAGGATGACGACTGGTCTCTATAGTATTAGCTTTATTGGCTTTGCAGTGGATGCAGCACACAGTTTTATGATACCTTCCAAACTGGTCTTTGGAATACTGGATGCAGGCACCGCTTTACAATTTTGAATTACAAATACATGATATCCGCCTTCTTGTTCCGAGGACCTAAACGGTTCCTTGATTCTTCAGGAATGGCCATACAGTAGTACTCCCACCAGCAAAATTGCTAACAATCAACCAAATGGCTACTACCTACCAAAGACTGGACACACTCAATCAGCCTGTATGGCTGTAATTTTATCAGTGCCTTCCTCCAGCCACGAGCTGGCGGGCAGGCGAAAAACAAGAAAACAACGACCCTATCGGTACAGGAGAAGGTGCAATGACTACTTCTTTTCAAAAAAGACGGACAAAGGAAAGGAGCGAGGCATAGGGAAGTGATGCATGCCAGAGCCTACAATATACGGTAAATAACAGAGAGGCGAATCGGTACGAGCTCCATCCCATACTGCCGAGTTCAAACCTTCTCACTGTCACACAAATTGCTTCTCTCCTCCAGTAGTATGGCCAGGACAAAACCAACCGCGAGAAGAGTCGTCGATGGACAACATCTCAGGTTTCGGAAGGCTCTGACTAGGAAGGCCGCCAGGAAAGTCCCTCCACTGTCGAACTTGGGTATCAAAAAGCGACAGCGCTATGGACCAGGGACTGTGGTTCTAAGAGAAATACGAAGATATCAAAAGTCCACAGACCTACTGATCAGGAAACTGCCCTTCCAGAGGCTTGTAAGAGAGATCGCAGAAAACATCAAGAGTGGCATCAGGTTCCAAGGATCCGCTGTTTATGCCCTTCAGGTGTCGAGTGAAGCGTACCTTGTCAATTTGTTCACAGATGCTAATTTCTGTGCTATTAGTGCCAAAAGGGTTACCCTGATGACGAAGGACCTTCAGCTCGCATTGAGGATCCATGGAGGAGTGTACTAGAAGAAAGCAAGCAGCCCGTGAGACGAGCAAAGTACACAAGAAGAGGGCCCCACACCATCATTAACTAATATAATATCTACTATTCTAATTCATTATCCATGCACCAGCAGCCTTACAGCTAGTATTGTGATGTTCACAAATCGGTCAATAGTAGTAATTGCAGCATTAGTACAGTATTAAAATAGCAGTAGAGCTGTGTTTGTTTGTGTCCGTTTGTTTGGGTGACTGAGATGGACATCTCGTCTGAATCCGTTATTAGACGTTCAGTTTTTTTTTTTTTTGAGATGGAGACATCTGTTGTGTGACTCGCCGCCTTGCAGTGCAGATCCCAACTGGGACTTATGACATACAGTATCGTACTTACTTGATCCAGTTGATGTCTGACGTGGCCCCAAAAGCGATGACAATGCGCATGACGTTTGATCATAATGCAATTGCCTTCATTTTTCAAGTTGTCATTCGCTGACTGATCAAAGGCCATCACACAATCTTGGATCAACTGCCTCTTTGTTTTTCGCAGTTCCACACACTCCAAGATCATAATTTGTAGAACAGTAGCAAGAGATCGATAGATAGCAATGTACTGTATGACCATGACGGCTATGAACAAAAAGAAGAACCTGCTCCTCACCGCTGCCCTCGTGTTGGTGCAGTCGCTGTCTTGTTCTGCGTTTGTTACCGCTCCTCCCTTGACATGTCCCACTTTGACGACGACACAGCTGGATATGTACGCCGACAATTGGATGACGGGTTCTTCTGGTTCTCGTCAGACATATGCATACAACGGCTATGATCGCCATCCTTCTCCCAACCGGGGCGGTGGCATGATACGACAAGACCGTCCTTTTTATGACGATCGTCTTCAAGGCGGTGGCCGTTATCCTTCTCCTACTTACTCGAATAATGATTACGGTGGTGATCGTTCGTATCATCGTCGTTCTTCTTACGATCGCCACGACTATGAAAATTCCAGCATGGACTACAAGCAACAAGATTTGTGGCGTCATCAACGCGCCAATGAAAACTTTATTGAGAATCCCTACGGTACCAGTCGCTACCATGGCGGTCAGCATTACCGTCAGACGGTGGGATCATTCGATGAGTATGATCGTCAGAATTTGTACCACGACGTCACAAGGCCGCAACGACGTCCTCGTGGCATGGCCCGTCAAGAACAAATCATGCGACAAAAATACGACCGCGATGCCTTTATCGAACGTCCGTACGGGAATAGACGTGGGCCGTGGTAGTAAAAACAATTCAATAATTTGGAAGATGGTTCCAACAAGAAAATATCACGCACGCAAGACACAACACACCAGGCACCTCAATTCGATTGCAAGCTCTGCTTGGAAAAAGAAAATCACAGAAAGCGCCCATGACCTAAAGGGTCATATCCCCATGACAACACACTGACGGCTTTTTGGCATGCTCCCGTTACTTTTAAAATTCAATTCACAGCATTAAAAAGTTAGTCTATTCAATTTACCGCACGTCTTCCTGGAAGTTTCTATGATATTGTGAGTGCCATGCCACTGTAACAATAAGTTTTAGTTCGTACTCGGAGGCGAGAATTACTTGAGAATGGAGTGCACGCGGCGAGACTTGCAGGTGGAGCCATGCCGTTCACGCAAACCTCATGCATGCATGCATGCATCCATGGAAGCCCTACCGGTACAGTAGTTTTGTTTTGTTTTCTTGACTCGTCCAAAGAGCCTCTGATCGATCGATCAATCATACATACAGCGGGTAACAAACTGCATGAAACTCGCTTTTACGTTATTGGCAAATCCCATGCAAAAGAGTCAGATCAAGAGCAATGATGCAAAACAAGGAACGCCTCTCTGTGATTCCCCGGCTATCATCCGATCATGATACATATTTTTTTTTTGGTACCCTACCGTACGGTACCTTCAGCAAGTGAGCGTTTATTATTGGGCCAGTGATTGCCCAGTGATTAGTCTGGATGTTATTATTGCAATAAGCAGGACAAGTTTTTGTGTCGATGGAGACAATTCCAATCGCCTTTGGGGGCATTTTCACAGATATTCAAATCTTGCAGGTAGAGTTGGCGCAGTCGTTCCCATTTGATCCAAAAATAATACGACGACAGTGTATCTCCCGGAGGTGGATTGTAAATGCTGTGCAATTTGGTAAATGTGGTGGCGGCAATGTGACGAAAGTGATTCTTATTGCTACTAGACTTGGCTCCTCCACCATGAAGGATAATAGCGTCTTGGACATCTCGTCTGGGCCGACACCCGGATGCGAGAATATAGGGGAGCGATCGTACCACCATGGTAGGTTGGTATGTGAGAGAATCATCGTCCAATCCACAGTAGCGAATGGCCAAGGCGGTATAGACATCTTCGTATTCCTCTCCCGTGTTGATGGGCAAACGACTCCGACAGCGACCCAATCCTGCCATCAAGTCATGCGACAAGATGTATCCCATGCCCCGCAGCCATGGAATTTTAGAGAGTGTTTGGTTCTGAAAGACACGATCAAAGCGTTCTCCGGTTCCACCAAGAAACTTTGTTGTGTGGGTGTGGTTATTGTTGTTGAGGGCTTTTAGGAGATTGTCCAGGACCACAAAGGACTCGTCGTCGAGTTTGATGTGATAGTGCGTGGGCATGTGATCGGCCGCCCAATTGTACCAGGCATTCATTTTTCCATAATCGTGGACATCGGTGCTGTTGAGCAGGACAATGTCGTGGTAGTGTTCCATTTCCGCATACAGCAACGTCAGATTGTTTCTTCTTCTTTTCTGTTTTTGACTAGTTGCTCCTTGGGTATAATGCTGTCGGTTGCCAATGACAAAGTAGACTTTGACTTGTCCACTCTCCACGGCCTCGTGCTTCATCCACGTGGTGCGATGGACCTCACGAAGCTCTCGAAAATTGGTATACCCATCATCTGGCTGCCAATCAAAGGCCGACATGATCCCTATCGCTATCTGGGGATCTTTGGACGCAAATCCATCATGTGTATCATGGTCTTCACAGCCCAATGCCTTACTGCTGTCCGCTGTACTGGTACTGGTACTGGTACTGGTACTAGTAGACGCCATCAGCAAGTTTGTGGCGAGAATGAGCTTGGTTTGAGTGACAAACACAACCAATACGACCAGAGCCACCAAGACTCGTAGAAACAACCGCGAAGGGACAGCCATCGTTTTTTAAAAGTTGGCAACGATCGAGGATACCGTGTCTTCACATGGGAGCTACTACTAGTAGTACATGTATTGGCAATGCATTGTACGTTTTATTGGATCCATGCATGCATAATATGTGCCCTTTCAAGGAGGTTCAACTGAGGTTCGTTTAGGATAATGACAACGGCAATAAAGGGTGAAGGCATCGAAAGCCAGCTGGAATGGTGATTGAATGGGCGACATGGATCGTTTCCCGCAGTTTTAGAGGCGGTTCCGTGGTCCCCGCGACGGCCGGGCACCATGCAGAATAGACTTACAGTCCCAGTAAAGGAGTTATACGCCAACGTCAATGACTCCATGGATGTCAAGTTGCCAAGCCACCTTGGGATTGTCCCCGTAAGATCTGAGATTTCCAGGTGCAGAATTTCCATGTCTGTGAAAACTGCAAACTCCGTTGGGATCTACCAGAACTTCTTGTGAGATTTCTTTCATGAAGGCAAACAAGGAGAATCGACCATGCATGCAATGCCATTGGTAAAAACGTACAGTGCCACTCAAAATATTGTTACTCAGAAGAAGAGCCCCTAACCCAGTTACTTGCCCAAGTTCTGTGGGAATTGTCCCCGTGAAAAGGTTGGTGTCAAGTGCCAGACCCCCCAAAGCTGTCAGCAATCCCAGTTCTGTTGGCACCTGCAATACCAGAAACGGCTATTATAGTGAGAAACACCAAACATTCACAGAGACAACACATTTGTACCTACTGGTCCTGTCAGCTGATTTTCTAAAAGACCAATGGCTTGCATTGAGTTTGTAAGGGAAAACAGGGATGATGGAATCTGGAAAGGACAGCAATAATTCAATGTGAAGAAATCACAAGGTGAGATAATGCAGCCGTAGCAAGCTCTGCTCATATTCCATATAGGTTATTACTCACAGTTTCCGTCAAAGAGTTCCAGGCAAAATTGATACTTCTAAGTTTTGACAATCTCCCAATTGCCTGAGGAATAGAGCCAAACAGCCCACATCCAAACATTGAAATATACTCCAAATTTGAAAGGCCAGAGAGTTCTTCTGGGATGGTGCTGGTAAGGTTGAATTCATCCAATGCCAAGCTCCTAAGTTCAGTCAGCAAGTATAGCTCTGGTGGAATACCTGATCCCATCAGGCCATTATAGGACATCCAAAAATGCTTCAGGAGTCCGTCTCCCTGGTACCAGATGCCTTCCTCTAGATATCCAGCTGGATCTTGCTCACAGGGACTGATGTGGTCCAGTGGGAATTCAGCGCCAGCCAAAAAGAAATACCAATCCTCCAAACCTGAATACCAAAGACACTCATGAACACTGTGGTTGAGCCAATTATCACTAAAGGACCATGGTTCTTTGCTGTTGGCAAAATAGAAAGTTGCAAGCGCAAATCGTTGTACAACTCTCCCCTCTGTAAGGTTGTGCAGGATATCAAATTCTTCCATGAGCCATTCAAATGCCATCGACTGAGGTGAGGTGGGAGAATTTATAATGGCAGTAACGGTTGTCGTTGGGAACAGAGATAGCCAAAACTCGGAATACGAAGTGGGTGCCGGAGATGGGTTTTGGCTGGGTCCCTCAGTTGGTGTCGCTGTAGGCTCGTAATCTTCCTCCGGATTCTTACTCTTTCCAGGAACCAGGATAGCCACTAAAATGAGAATAACCGCCAACAAGACAATGACTCCCAAAAGCACATTGGTTTTGAATTGCTTCAATCTTGTTTCTCTGCTTCTGGTTTCATTTTCCAGATTGCAATCGTGAGCCTGGGGCAGATCCTGAGGGAATGTTTCATCTTGAACCAAGTTTGCCACAGCCAAGCCGCTAGTGTCATTTTCTGGTTCGATCGTAGGTGGTCGAGTTGAGATTGGTTCATTGTGTGTCTCTGCCGTTTCCAGATTTCCCTCTGTTCCTTGAAAATTGCCTCCACTTGGGTAGGCTCCTGGTTGTAATTGGGCCCTTCTGTTGGCTGTGCTCCGTTCCAATCGCGGCAAATTCCAAGTTCCACGATTGCCATCATTTTGTACAGTATCGACCTGGGCTACATGGGTGTCTCCAGTAGTGCTCGCAATATTGCTCAATTTTTGGTCGTGATGGTGGTTCTGCTGCGCCATGGTTTCTACAGCCGGAGGAAAGTTGTCCCCTTTTGGAGTGGTAGTATTTTCACATTGGTCGAGACCTGAATCTTGGAGCCGACCTTCCACAATTTTGGCCAGATCGAGTGGGGATAAACCTTCTTCCTCGTATCCCTGTGTTCCTATCACCCCTAAAACAGCCTCTCTGTTTGCTTGGTCTGGCTCCGAACCTCTCAGACGTGCTTCCACGATTTTAGCTAGGTCCAGAGGATCCAATCCTTCTTCCATATTTTGTGTGGCTGCAGTCTCACTAAAGCTTTCCTTGGATGCTCTTGCTGCTAGTTCAAAAGCTGGTAGCTTTCGACGTTCCGCCTCTCCACCTTCGCAAGCGCCAACAGAAGCACTTATCCTGGTAGCCTTTTCGACACTCTCAAATTCTTCGGAAAGCGATTCCAGATCTCGTGGTGTTCTGGTGGAGGTTGTTGACGGCTGTGGTTTGCTTTCTTCTGCTTCCGTCACACCAGGGCCACTATCACTAGGCGTTGGCATGGCTAATTTCCCTACTCTAAACCCCGTGATTATTTGAGAGGTAACGCTATCTTGAGGTGGAGGCACCGTTGTGATTTGCTGATTGCTGTCACCCTTGCTTTGACGTGTATCGGCCAGCACCTTTGTGCTTTTAATAGCATGCAGTTTTGTTTGTTTCCTTCTGCTGAATTTCTGATAACTGATTTTCAGCTGTGGGAGAGTCGACTATAGAGTGTGGTCTCGATTTGCTGGTTTGCCCTTCACTGCTTTAATGCATGCTGCATGCTGCAAGTTGCTATGGGTTAGAGTGGACAGCTGCATGCATGAGTTGACCATGGCGTGGACAGACCGACCGGTGTGAGAGTGGCAGGTGGTGGAATCGAACGGATCGGTCATGCATGCATGCAGTCAGCACGGATAAATCACGGGTTGACTGCAGAATCTGATAAATTGAATGACGATCGGCGTACGGCGTACCGTACGGAACCATACAGCACACGGTACGTACGCTAGGTAGTACATAAGCCAGCTCAGACATAAACAGTGCTACTTCTTTGGCTGCATCATTCGTCCAAGTGAGGACCAGAGTCATGAGCATATGCCATACAGTCGTACATCCGTGAAGTCCCGGTATCTTTTTGTTGAGTCTTCAATCACCCCCCTTCCCTGTCCCCCTTTTTTGCCCTGCGTCCTCATTGCTCTCCCCGTACGCCCACCACCACAGCCACCCACCACCGCAGCCCCTGCTCTGCCTAGCTTCGCCCCCCTCGCTCCTTAACTTATCTATTTTGTATTTGTTTTTTTTTCTTTAAAAAAAAAATCATGCTACGGCTGTACGCGAACGGTCTCATAGCAGACATCTAAAAGCCAGCAAGAATGGTGATCGGTGCCACAATTTGACGGATGTCGAGACTGTAGATCAATTACTAGTATAGGACCCTTCTGAGGCGTCGCACCCTCTCAGGAGGCCAGTGTGGCCAGTGAGCAGACTTGACTGTGGGAAATACCCGGGCCTCGGCTCGTGGGCCGTCCTCAAGCACATCTTGTCTGAATCCGTTATTAGATGTTCAGTTTTTTTTGTATAGGATCCTTCTGTCATGGATATATAGAGCCGAACATTGACACCATGATTCCTTGTCCCAGACCTGTACCAGTAGGGAAACATGACAACTTTGTGGGGAGAAGCGAGCCAAGAGAGAAGCATTCAAGCATGTAAGTCAAGCCATCACGATAAGACTTCATCGTCATAGCATGGTCCAAGCAACAGAGGCTTTTCATAGGCATGCTGTTCCACTGCCAGGGGAAAATACAAGTAGTACATAGGGTTCTGCTTGAAGCAATTCTACAGTATTTAACATGGAGGTATGAAGAAACGCACAATCATCTATTCGTTCCGTTCAGAGTTCAGTTTGGTTCCCTTCAGTTCGGTTAGTCTCTCCCTCCACTATCGGTAGTGTTTCAATGTCAGAACAGTTACACCAGTTACATCCACACAGTGCATTGCTGCAGTCAAACATAAGTTCGTTGGCAGAACACAAGCTCTCAGGAATTATGCCAGAAATTGCATTTTCATCCAACCAGACTTGACCATAAGGTGCGGGGAAAGGAACATTGCCAAGCTCCAGGGGAATTGTTCCAGTCAATTCATTGTCATATAGCCACAACCGAAACAATGCCGGGAGCAGACCAAGCTCTGTAGGAATGGTTCCTGCTAGGTGATTGATTTCCAGGGTCAACACAGCAACTTGCTCGCACATTCCGGATTGTGCCCGACAAAGCATTCCAACCAAGCCACAAGGAATATAGCTTTGTTAGAAGGCCAAGTTCTGTTGGGATCTAGAGGGAAAAGAAGAAACTTCATGTTGTTAGAAGAAGAAGTTATTTCGACAGGGTTGACACAAAGATAGGCTTACAGTCCCAGTAAAGGAGTTGTCCGACAGTGTCAACGTGTCTATGGATGTCATGTTGTCAAGCCATCTAGGGATTGTCCCATTAAAACCCGAGGTATCAAGGTAAAGAAGTATCATGTCTGTAAGAGCTGCAAGCTCATTGGGGATCTACCAGAGTTTGCTGGTGAGGTCTCCAGATCGCAAACACTGAGAATCAATAAATGCCATTTTCACTTACAGTACCGCTCAGAATCAGTTCACTCAGGAGCAAGGCCTCTAACCCAGTTAATCGCCCAAGTTCTGTGGGAATTGTCCCAGTGAAAAAGTTGGTGTCAAGTGCCAGACCCCCCAAATTAGTCAGCAATCCCAGTTCTGTTGGTACCTGCAACATTGGAAACAGCTAGTGAGAAACACCAAACATTCACAGAGACAACAAATTTGTACCTACTGGTCCTGTCAGCTGATTTTCTACCAAAACAATGGCTTGCAATGAGCCTGGAAGGGAAAACTGGGATGATGGAATCTGGAAAAGACAGCAATTCAAGGTGAAGAATTGGCAAGGTGAGATATTGCACCAAGCTCTCTCAGATACTCCATATATGTTGCCTCTTACAGTTCCAATCAAGGAATTGAACCCAAAGTAAACGACTCTAAGTTTTGACAAACTGCCGAGTGCTTCAGGAATGGAGCCATAAAGGCTGCAAAAATTCATGGAAATAAACTCCAAATTTGAAAGTCGAGAGAGCTCTTCTGGGATGATTCTGGTATGGTTCAAACCATCCAATGCCATGCTCTTGAGGTCTGTGAGCAAGTAGAGCTCTGAGGGAATCCCTAATCCCACCAGACCATTGTGGAGCAGCCACAAGTGCCTGATGATTCCTTCTCCCTGATACAAGATGCCGTCCTGTAGATATCCAGCTAGATCTTGTTCGCAAGGGCTGATGTGATCCATGGGGAAATAAATGTTGGCCTCAGACGAGAAATACCATTGCTCCAAACTTGAGTACCAAAGGCACTCATGAACACTGTGGTTTAGCCAATTGTCACTCAAGGACCAAGGGTCTTTGCTGTTGGCAAAGTAGAATGTTGCTAGTACAAAGCGCTGTACAACTCTCTGTTCTGTAAGGTGTTGTAGGATGTCAATCTCATCCAAGAGCCATCTGAATGCTATCGACTGGGGTGATCCTGGGTCCTCCTGAATTGTAGAGACTGTTGATTCCGGGAACAGCGACAGCCAGTATTCCAAATAAGACGACGGTCCCTGAGAGGGGTTGGTGCTAGGCAACTCACTAGGTGCAGTTGTTGGAAAAAGATCTGCACCATTCTCTTGACGTCGAGGAATCAGGATGGCTACCAAAATGAGAATGATGGCCAACAAGAAAATGACCCCCAAGAGGACCTTGGTTTTGAATTGCTTCATCCTTTCTTCTCTACTTCTGGTTTCATTTTCCAGATTGTAATCGTGAGCCTGGGGCAGATCTGGAGGGATTGTTTCATCTTGAACCAAGTTTGCCACAGCCAAGCCACTATTGTCATTTTCTGGTTCGATGGTTGGCAATCCAGTAGTCGTGGGTTCATTGTGTGTCATCTCTGCTGTTTCCAGATTTTCCTCTGTTCCCTGAAAATTGCCTCCACTTGCGTAGGCTCCTGGTAGTACTTCGGGCCTTCTGTTGGCAGTAGTCCGTTCCAATTGAGGCAACATCAAAATTCCATGATTGTCATCGTTTTGTTCCGTATCGATCTGAACTACACTGGTGTCGGCTAGTTCAGTTCTGTTGTTGGTCTCACTAGTGCTCGAAATATTGCTCGCGTTTTGTTCCTGGTGGTCAAGACCTGAATCTTGGAGCTGAGCCTCCGCTAGTTTGGCCAGATCGAGTGGGGAAACCATTTCTTCCTCGTATATCGATGTCCCTGCCAAGGCTGATGCAGCCAGTGGGACTGTGGTTGTTGGATGAAAGTTCATTGTTTATTGCTCATGCTCTGCTGGATTGGCATCCGAATTGTTTAGGCGTGCTTCCACAATTTTCGCTAGGTCCAGAGGATCCAATCCGTCTCTGTCACTAGATATTTCCTGGGATGCTCTTGCTTTCTTGTTCAAAAGCTAGTTACTTTCGACGTTCACTCTCACCAGCGTCACAAGTGCCGCCAGAAGCACTTAACCTTGTGGCCTTTTCGATAATGTCAAATTCTTCGGAAAGTGATTCTGTCAATGACAGTGGTTGGTGCGGTCCGTCGAGATCTCGCGGTGTGCTGGTTGATGCTTCTGCATGACTTGCTGGCAGCTGCGAATTGCTTTCTTCTGCCTCAGGCACACCAGGACAAGTATCACATGGCATCGACATGGATGCTTGGTGAGAATTTTCGGAGGCAACACTACCTTCAGGTGGAGTCATGATTGTGTCACCACGGCTTTGACCTGTATTGGCCAGCACCATTATGCTAAATGGCAGTTCTGTTTGTTTCTCCGCCTGGCCCTCGCGATCGATCCGCTGCCTTCGTAGATGACTTCCCTATACTCTAAACCTCCTTGTACGTTCTCCTCTTGGCTATCTGATAACTCTTTTTCAACTTAATTGTGATGAGGTACCAGTAAATTGACGTCGATCGTTTTTTAGAAGTCCTGGACCGTCCGACGGTTTTCACTCAGGATTTAAAATATTCCACGAATGAGTAAAAACTTGATCGCCACAATTAAGGGATTGTTTCTTAAGGGATTGTTTAAGGGATAGTCAAAGCTTTAAGGGAGTGTGGTTAAGGGATTGTTTATTTAAGGGATTGTTTAGGGGATAGTTGAAGAAATAAGGGATAGTTGTATGGTGTTTCCATTTGGCGTTAAGGGATTGTTTAAGGGATAGTTCAAGCTTTAAGGGATTGTTTTAAGGGATTGTTTCTTTAAGGGATTGTTTAAGGGATAGTTGATGAGATAAGGGATTGTTTAAGGGATTGTTTTAAAGGTTCATCAGTCGTGGAAATTTCAATTTGTTTTTAATCCTGTGTGAAAACCGTCGGACGGTCCTGGTTTGCCCGCTACTGTTGGACAGCTGTTGGTGCGCGTGGAATCGAATCCTTCTGCACCAGTGCGGTTGCAAGAATAAATTGCATGACGATCGCGGTACAGCTGTAACGGTACTGCTGGTACGAAGAGCAATAAGCCAGCTCAGACGGGAACAATATGAAAATGACCATGAAGTCTCCTTCACCATAATGGGGCTGCCTCTTTCCTTGAAGAGAGGATCATATTGCAGGCTGGAAGAAAACACAAAACTCTAGGGCCTTGGAATAAGACCCAGGCACCATTCCCACAGAGCTTGGAAGCTATGTGGGCAATTTCTTTTTCTGGACACATCCCAAGTTGAATTTGGTGAACTTCCAGCACTTGGCTCCCTGTATAGAGGGAATTGTGACTATGTACCACTGGAAGGAAGCTCCAGGGCACGGATGTGCTCCAGATTTGGTCAAAAGTCCTCAAAAGACAACACTAAGATAGGTGGGGTAACACATGCATTGGAGACTATTTTCCAACTCTTTTACATCATAGTTAAAACAAAAAAGGAATAGCCGGAGGGTTGGTTCTGTTGAAGCGGCCCGGGGCGCCATGGTCGAGACTTTTTGTTGCATCGGATGCAGTTCAATTTCGCCTTCCTTCGCGATATTGCACTCCTCGGGGGGCCTGTTCTGTTCGTACGGTACCGTAATGCAGTGGTGCACTTCCACACCTTTTTGTCTATATATGGGAGCTCACGCATAGCCGCTGTCAATCTTTCACAATGGATGTTTCGGTTGGTTGGTGTTCATGCAGTCTTGTAGCCGCAGCCAATGTTGTTGTCGGCATTCTGATAGTATTCGTCGTTCGCTCCGCTGACTGCCTGCTGCTGTATTTCTCTCCTGCTGCTGTTTCTTCTCGCAAACTCGCTTCAATTCGATCACTGCCTTGCCAATGGATGCAACTTGAAGCCGATCTGTGCCGATGGATGCAACTCGACACGACACGATAGATAGGCAGTAGCAGAAAAACCTACTGTTGTTGTCGTAGCGGTAGCGATAGCATCAGTAGCGAGGACGCTTCGCTCTATCGCTTTGGTCGTTCCTCGTAAATTCCTCGTGAAACGACGCCTTCTTTGAGGCCAACAACATTATGGACAAACATCCATACCGGTAGCAGATCAGCCCCAGGATGACCTAATTAGAATAGACAACCATTCAACGCCAAAAAAGTTGCTCTACGTTCGTCTTTAGACGAGGCATTTTAGAAGAGATTGGAACGGGATACCACCCCCATCGTGGTCATCATGCACCATCACGTCCTCACGACGAGAACTCTGTTGACATTGACGTGTGGAGACTCATCCGGTGCTTTCAGAGGTAGAGTTGTGGACTTCATGCATAAGCCAGCTCAGACGCCAGACATATGCCTGTCTCCTCATGGGCCCGGGTGCCTCTTTCCGCAGGATGATGGAGACAACATAGTTTCCTGAAGAGATTATCGGATAGCAGAGATCCATGTCGCCGAGCACCGTGATCACTGCCGCTTTCGATGCTTGTACTAGGCCTCCTTTATTTGAGATGTATTATCTTACTTATGTAAATATGTAGTACTCGTATGATTATCAACACACAACCATCCATGCAGTCAGTCTTCCGTTCAGGGTTCAGTTTGGTTTGTTCCACTCAGTAACTGACCATCTTCATTTGTAGGTTCTCCCTGCAGTATCAGTAATGTTTCAAAGTCAGAACAGTTACATGAGCCACATCCACAGAGCAAGGTGCTGCAGTCAAAAACAAGATCGTGGGCAGAACACAAGCTCTCAGGGATAATGCCAGAGAGATCATTTCCATGCAAATAGACTTCTCCATAAGGTGCAGGGAATGAAACATTTCCAAGCTCCAGGGGCACTGTTCCAGTCAAACTGTTATTTTCTAGCTTCAACTGAACTAACTCAGTAAGTAAACCAAGCTCTGTTGGAATGGTCCCTGTCAGCTTGTTGGTATGCAAGTTCAACACAAAAGCTTGCTTGTACATTCCCAATTCACTTGGGATTGTGCCCGACAAAGCATTCGAATTAAGCCACAAAACAAGCATCTTTGTTAGAAGGCCGAGTTCTGTTGGGATCTAGAGGGAAAAGAAGAAGCCATGGACTTGATGTTAGAAGAACTGCATTGGGTTGAACTGGTATAGCGGTACAAGTAAGCAGACTTACAGTCCCAGTAAAGGAGTTGAACGCTATCGTCAAGCCTTCCATAGATGTCATGTTGCCAAACCACCCAGGAATTGTCCCAGTAATGCCCGAGTCATCCAGTTCAAGATGTTTCATGTCTGAAAGCAAAACAACTTCATTGGGGATCTGCCATTGAATTTAAAGTGGAGCATTTAGTCCTATGACATGATATTCAACACAACAAAAACCAAATTCATTTCCCACAGCATCACTGAAAGAACTTACAGTACCACTCAACATTAGGATGTGAAGGAGTACGGACTCCAAGAGAGTCAATCTGCCAAGCTCTGTGGGAATAGTCCCGGTGAAAAGGTTGGTGTCAAGTAGTAGACCCCGCAAATTGGTTAGCAATCCCAACTCTGTTGGTATCTGCAGTAATAGAGACAGCCAGTGAGAAACACCAACACTGTATATTCACAGGAGATATCTTGTACATACTGGTCCTGTCAGCTGATTTTCCGTTACAATAATGCATCTCATGGAGCTCGTCAGCGAATAAAGGGATGATGGAATCTGTCAAAGACAGAAATTCAAGGTGGTGGAATGACTAAAGGTGAGATATTGCACCAAGCTCTTTTTGCGCAGGTAATCCATGGGCTATCACTTACAGTTCCTGTCAGGGAGTTTAAACCAACCAATATGTTTCCAAGTTTTGACAATCGTCCTATTGCCTCGGGAATGGAGCCAAACAGCCCACATCCCAACATCGATAGATATTCCAAATTTGAAAGCCCGGAGAGCTCTTCTGGGATGGTGCTGGTAAGGTTCAATTCATCCAATGCCAAGCTTTTGAGGTCTGTGAGCAAGTAGAGCTCTGGTGGAATCTCTGATCCCACCAGTCCATTGTAGGATAGCCAAAAATGTTTTAGGATTCCATCTCCCTGATACAAGATGCCATCCTGTAGATATCCAGTTGGTTCATGCTCACATGGACTGATGTGATCCAGCGGCATATATATATTGGTATTGGCCTCAAAATAGTAATAATAATCCTCTAAGCTTGAATACCAAAGGCACTCATGAACGCTGTGGTTGAGCCAATTGTCACTGGAGAACCATTGGTCTTTGCTAACAGCAAAGTAGAAAGTTGCTAGGACAAACCGTTGTACAACTCTTTGCTCTGTAAGGTTGCGTAGGATGTCAATCTCTTCCATAAGCCATTTGAATGCCCTTGACTGGGGTGATCCTGGGTTCTCCAGAATTGTGGATACTGTGAATTCAGGGAAAAGCGATAGCCAGTATTCTGAATAAGATGACGGGCCCTGAGATGGATTGCTGCTGGGTGACTCACTAGGTGAGGTTGTTGGGAAAAGATCCCCTTGACTTTGAGGAATCAGGATGGCTACCGAAATCATGATGATAGCCAACAAGACAATGACTCCCAAGAGGACCCTGGTTTTGAATTGCTTCATCCTTTCTTCTCTGTTGATGTTGTCGGGACTGTAATCTTGAGCCTGGGGCAGATCCTGAGCGGTTGTTTCATCTTGAACCAAGTTTGCCACAGCCAAGCCACTAGTGTCAATTTCTGGTTCAATCATAGGTGGTCCAGTAGTCGCTGGCTCAATGTGTATCTCTGTTGTTTCCAGATCTTCCTCTGTTCCTTGAAAATTTCCTCCACCCGGGTAGGCTCCTGGTTGTACTTGAGCTCTTCTGTTGACAGAAGTACGTTCCAATGGAGGCAAAGGCATAATTCCCAAATTGTCGTCATTTTGCACCGTATCCTCCGGAGCGTCGACAAGTTCAATTCGGGTGTCATCGTGCTCTGGAGTGGTAATATTTTCACCTTGGTAGAGACCAGAATCTTGGAGCCGAGCCTCCATTATTCTGGCCAGTTCGACCATTGCTACATTTTCTTCCCTGTATTCAGCCTTTTTTTTGGCTAGGTCAGGCTGTGGGCCTTTGGCCAGTACTGCTCCTATTTTGTGTGGGTGTGGGCTTTTCTCTGTTTCGAGAAAATCTAGTGTGTGCTGTTGGTTGCTTGTTGGGGTGGCCTCCGAATCTTTTTGCGGTGGGTGTGGGCTTTTCTCTGTTTCGAAAAAGTCTAGTGTGTGCTGTTGTTGGCTTACTGGGATGGCACTGGCATCGGAATCTGTTAGCCGAGCTTCAACATTTATAGCAAGGTCCAGAGGATCCAAACCTTCTTGTTCCTGTTCCTGTTGTCCCTCCTCGTGTTCCTGCTCTTCAATGTAGGGAGAACCCAGGTTGCCCGGCTTGCCGGCCTCTTCTTCCTTCATGCTTCCTGATGGTTTGATGGTTTTTGCACTTGGTCAGCGTCTGATCGAGTAAGTGTTGATATCTCTGAATAAGAATGTTCCCATGTGGTTCCAGGCATTTACGATGAGGTTACTAGGGCTACAGAGGGAGAGTGGGCATACGCTGGCTGTGGCTGTGAGACTATACCCAGTATTAGATCTATGCTGTTAGGGCTACGATGGCGGGCAATGTAATCCTACAAGTACTTATAATATCATCGATCGGGTGGACGCAGATAATATTTTGAATGGCTACCCCATGACGGTGCATGGGCGGGCATGCACGAAGGCATGACGATCGCGGAATTACACGTAGAATGCTCCACCGCGGTGAGTGTAAGCCAGCACAGACGGAAACAATAAAGCTTTGCCTTAGCTAGGATGTCTCCTTCCGGCTGCATTTTCCTCAAAAGGGAGGATCCATCAGAGTGCAGTGAAGCGGATTGGGGTGGAGCGGAGTGAAAGTCAACTGGAACAAAACACGAAACTCCAAATAAGACCCACAGGCACCATTCCGGCAGAACTCTGATGATGGTCTCCTTGGTGCCGAAGCTGAGGCACTCGCCAAACATATATATATATCATCCTCGCTTGCTGCAAAGTGGTCCCGACCTTACTCGGTGGTCCGTGGCTAAGTTATTGCTCAACTCAGCCTTTCCATTCTTCAGGCCTGCCACCTCTGTATGTGTGGCTCTCGGGTCCCTGGTGGCACAATGAGCTACCGCCGTTCCCTCTGGGATGCTGATGATGCACTTCTTGCCTACTTCCACTAATGTTGCCTCTCTTACTCTCTCTGGACATCACCTCTACTTCCTCCTTTTCGTCCCTCGCATCCCCCCTCCCCCTTGCCTTCCTGCTCTCTCCCGGTGCTACCCACCACCGATACCCCCGCCCTGTCTGGCTTAGCCCCCATTGCTCCATCAATATCTAGAATATTTGTCTTCCCACAGGGCTTGGAAGAAGATACAAAACTCCGTGGCTTTGGAAAGCTTGGAAGGTTGACAAAGCTACATGGGCTTAAAAAAATCTGGTCCCAAGTGAATTTGGTGAACTCACACCTAGCTACTGGGAAATGCAACTATGTATATACCGCTAGCGCTACCAAATCGGAAGCAATGCTCCAGGGCACGGGTGTGTCTCAACTGCATGATTATCTTGCCGGTGCGTTTCACCAGACCCACTCATCAAATCCATGGATGCAGGAGGTATAGTACCGGTATACACATCATGCAGATTGAGCCGTTTTTGCGCTTAGCTACTGAGTACATCTGAGCGTTTTGTGGGCCTTCTTGACTCCGTACAGGACTCCAGCAAAGAATGCAAGACACACCATGACGAATGAGATAACGAGTCTGCTCCACGTGCCGCTGGGTACCACACTGATGGCTTCCATGGCTTGCTCCAGTTCTAGCAAACCGTATGTGTCCAAGAGCGCCGTCAGTCGAGAGCTCAGAACTGGGCCGCTGTTGTTTGGTTGCCTGTTACTATTCATTCCACAATACTGCCCATTCAACTGTTTGAAAGCTTGGGGGAGCCTCGGAGAAGACGGGTTCACGTAAAGCACGTCAAATTGTCCCAAACCTAGAGTTCCGTACTCCCTTCGGCGTGTAATATCACTCATTTCGTACCAATAAAACCCCTTGCTCCGCAGAAATGCATCAATTTCGTAGAAACAAGCCCCTCCTTGGTTGTATTCAATGATCCCTGATTCTAACTGCACAAATGTTGCCTTGGCCAATGTCTCTTCTGCACCTTCCAAGACCATGAGTTCTGCTCCTTGAACGTCCGCCTTGATGAAATCAATGTATTCCTCCGATTTCAGAAACGACTCTTGAATGATATCATCTAAACGACTGGTGGTGCGTGAAACAGGCTTGGAGTTGCTGTAATGTTGCGAGTTTTCTCTCAGAAACGAGTTGCCCGTATTGCCGTCCTGGAAAAACTCGACCGTGTCGCCGGTGGTTCCCGACAGCACGGCAATCTTGAATTCTGTTGCTTGAGGACCCAGTTCTTCACATCGTTGTTCCAGTCGTTGTCGGTGGTTGGGTGTTGCTTCCAGCATCAGTATCTTGGCGTCGGGGTAGTTGACGCGAACGCGATGAGCCCACGCGCCAATGTTGGCTCCGATATCGACAACGGCGTTCGGTGCCCACTCGGGATACGTGAGCTTCAACTGCATGAGAAGGCCCTGCGGGTAGATGCCTTGCACGACATGCGGCGCCAGAAGCAAGACGAGGACGATGAAGAGGCGATCCATGGTGCTTGTTCTCCTTTGGTTGGATACCAATGATGAAGTGTGGGCATTAGCTACCTAGCTCTACTGGTATATATAGTAGGGATGCCATGGATATGCTGGCAAACATAAAAATAAATAATAGCGAGAGCCGAGGTGCGCAATGCGCACCTCGTACTGACTGGCGTGACGGAGAAGATCATTTGACAATTCCAAAATTCGTTTTGGCCAAACCAAAATGGGAAGCGGTCATTTCCAACATAATTGGTCATTTCGCGAATCCTGAATTGAAATGACTGATTCAATCAAAGAAAAGATTGATGAAAATAAAATGAATTTTAATACCATGGGAACAGTGTTGACCAAATGGCTATTAGCTTTACCAATACATTGAGATAGCAAATCCTTTTCTAGAACTAGCTTCCCAACACACTCACAGAGCCACCCCTCAAAAAGGATTTGCTATCTCCAAGGTTTCCTATGGAGCTTCTGGGAAAAATCTGGCTTGGATTCCATTCTGTTGATGGATTTCTCCATGGGAAGGGTCCTCCAGTCTTCACTCTCAGCACTCAATCTGTACTGTAGAGCCATGCAATTTCGAAAGGACAGATATCGGAATTGGGAAGACGTTAAGTCTTTTTCTAGGTCCCTATAGTAAAACAGTACAAACTGACAAAACTGACAAAACTGCGAACTAATACGACATCGTTTCAGAGGAAAAGGAGCAAGGAAACCTCACTGTTATCTCAAGTAAAGGCCCTGGTGCAAGTACCGAGACAACTGGTTGAAAATCCGACGAGAAACAAGAAGATTTGGAAGCAACGGTGGACATCACGGCATTCGGCGACATCGACCTCTGCCAATCTGCTCAGAAGACTGTTCCCAGCTCCACTCAAGCAAAGCACTGTGTTAGGATACCCATCAAGTGAGTCCGTTGAAGATATCATGGGAGATAACGAGAAGGAAGCAGAGAAATCGGCATCTGCCATTCAGCAGGGAGGAACACTAGCAACAGCCAAGGCCGCGGGGTCATCCAAAAATGAAACCGGCATTCCAGGAAACCAAGGTGACAAAGCCTCAGAACATAATTTATCTGAATTTATGGGAGGTGGAACGAAGGAAAATGAGCAAAAATTGACCGAGAAACCAGCTGAGGAGGGAGCCAAGAAGCCAGCAGCAGTGAAAGCAGCAGCAGCATTTGTGCCTGGTATGATGATGCCTACCGAAGAAGAAATGAAACGCTGGGCAGAAGCAAAAGCAAGAAAAGAATTTGCCATGGGAACCAAAGGCCCCGATGAAGGTTTCACTGAAGTCCGGGTCGCAAAAGCAAAGAAGAAAATCGAGTGGAGTCTCATTCCTGAAGAAGACAGACAGTACCGAACTGGAGTCATCTGCTCAGATTTGGCAAGAAAGACGAATGTGCTTGAGTCCACAGACCTTCCAAGCATGTTCAAAATCATAGCCTCCATCGACCCAAAAGCAATCATCCTGCCACACAACAATGACGAAAAGAATGGAATTGGAGTCTCAGCCCTTGCTAATAAGAAAACAGACTTCCTCAAGAAACACCTGGACGTAAAAGCCACAGACTGGGAACGTCGGGAAAACAACAAACAAAAGTTAGCATTCAGCTTCTACATTGCATCGGACAAGATTACCCCAGACCTCAAAGCACTCAGAGAGCACAACCTGTTTTCGCAGTTCCTAAAGGAAGCAAATTCATCATGGCCACACACCAGCTCAATGAGTCCAACACAAAAGTTCTCGGATGGTTTCAGGGCAAGTCGGCAAAACACACATGGAGAAACGACTTAAGCGAGAGATTTGCGGCGCATCTAAACATTCACCTCACTGGAAACGAAAAACTCTGCCAAACAATGAATTTGCTCTGTAGTTTCACTCTACAGAAGGGGCAGAGTGAACTCCAGAGTTTTGGCTAAGTAATGAGTTCGAAACAGGCCGCAGAATGTATGTGACCCGAGTTGGCATGACGGGATGGCAGGCGCATGATCGATCCTTGCACAGACCAGGTATACTACTATCTATATATGTATACCTATATATATTTATAACCACAGGTTAACCGTCATAGAAGAGGAGTTGTCACATTCACAAAGTACACGAAAGAAAACAATTACGCCCTCATGCAAACCAAAAACAGTCAAGCTGCACTGACAAAAGACATATGGGTATGCACGAAAGAAGGCAACAAAGAAGAACACATGTTATCTTATACGTTAATTTTCAGGTCTAAATAGTACCTAAAACCTCCACCTCGAATCCTCCTGGCTAGCCGGATATCTTTTGCATGATGGTGATTCTCTTGGCATGGATAGCACAAAGGTTGGAACATTGGAAGATGTCCACAAGATGGGCTTCTGATGCTTGCTGGAGAGCTTCCATTGCAGACCCTTGGAACCTGATGTCTTTTCTAATATCAGAAGCTATGTCTCGGACAAGACGCTGAAAGGGCAGTCTCCTGATTAGGAGATCGGTTGACTTCTGGTACCTTCGAATTTCTCGTAGAGCCACAGTTCCTGGGCGATAGCGCTGTCGCTTTTTGACACACACCTTCAATGGAGGAGGGACCTTCCTGGCGGCCCGCCTGCTAGCGCTTTCCGGAATCTGGGATGTTGTCCGTCGACTACTTTGCTTGCAGTTGGTTTAGTCCTTACCATAATGGAGGAAATCAATTTTATGTCTCATTATTTTTGGACTGTGAAATTGG